CAATGCTTTAGAAGCTCCAGAAACAAAAAATAATAAATGCACATTTTTGTACGTTCAAAAAGATGTGCATTTATTATTTTTTGTTAAAACTTATCCTGTAATACTCAGAATATTGATAAATAAATTCCAGACATTGTCATTTAATTCTCTACATGTGCTGGAAGTTAAACAGGCGGTAACATTGCAGCTGCACAGTTCTAAAATCCATCATGCTTTGGTCTTCTACAGATAATATGGTCAAGTCAACAGCCATATTTTGCATTTTGTAGATTTATGGTGATCTGTATATTGGGTATGTACTGTATATTATACCGGAATAACCCTATGGGCCCCAAGAAGGATAAATGCATAAAGATTGTTGTGCAAGTTTAACTGTGGGTATCTAAAAATTCACCTTGCAGTGTGCCCCTCACCTCCACTGTGAGAGTTAAATGCTCAGTTTATCTACAGTTGTGTTCAAAATAATAGCAGTCAGACATCACTAACCTGATCAATCCCTGTTTTTGGTAGAAATGATATTTCTACATGGCAAATAATTTACTAGCAGGTGTAGTAGAGTAATAGAAATCCAACAGACCCAACAGTCATGACATGCATGCTGCTGATTCTGTGTAATTGAATCACTAATTGGAAGGGGCATGTTCAAAATAATAGCAGTGTGGAGTTCTATTAGTGAGGTCACTCATTCTTTGAAAAACAAGTGGCAATTATTGCCCTTATTTAAGGAAGGAAGGCAGCAAATGTTGTACATACTGGTTACACTGCATTTCTCTCTGAAATTCTGAGGAAAATGGGTCGTTCCAGACATTGTTCAGTAGAACAGCGTACCTTGACTAAAAAGTTGATTGGAGAGGGGAAAACATAAAAAGAAGTGCAGAAAATGATAGGCTGCTGAGCTAAAATGATCGCAAATGCTTTAAAATGGCAACCAAATCCTGAAAGACGTGGAAGAAAGTGAAAAACTACCATTTGAATGGATAGAAGAATAGCCAAAATGGCAAGGACTCAGCCAACAATCAGCTCCAGGAAGATCAAAGAAAGTCTAAAGTTACCTGTGAGTACTGTTACAATTAGAAGATGCCTATGTGAAGCCAAGCTATCTGCAAGAAGCCCTCGCAAAGTCCCACTGTTGAAAAAAAGACGTGCTGAAGAGGTTACAATTTGCCAAAGAGCACATTGACTGGCCTAAAGAGAAATGGCGCAACATTTTTTGGACTGATGAAAGTAAGATTGTTCTTTTTGGGTCTAGTGGCCGGAGACAGTTTGTCAGACGACCCCCAAAACACTGAATTCAAGCCACAGTACACTGTGAAGACAGTGAAGTATGGTTGCGCAAGCATCATGATATGGGGATGTTTCTCATACTACGGTGTTGGGCCTATTTATCACATACCAGGGATCATGGATCAGTTTGAATACATCAGAATACTTGAAGAGGTCATGCTGCCTTATGCTGAAGAGGAAATGCCCTTGAAATGGATGTTCCAACAAGACAATGACCCCAAACACACCAGTAAACGTGCAACATCTTGGTTCCAGACCAACAAGATTGACGTTATGGAGTGGCCAGCCCAATCCCCGGATCTTAATCCAATATAAAACTTGTGGGGTGACATCAACAATGCAGTTTCTGAGGCAACACCAAGAAATAGAGAAGAAATGTGGAATGTAGTCCAATCATCCTGGGCTGGAATACCTGTTCACAGGTGCCAGAAGTTGGTTGACTCCATGCAACACAGATGTACAGCAGTTCTCAGAAACAGTGCTTACACAACTAAATATTATTAAGTGATTCAAAGGAAAGGAAAATCTTCAAACATTTTTCAGTTTATATAGTGAATGTTTGAGTTTGTAAAGAAGAATACAAACACTGCTATTTTTTTGAACCGTCTAATATTCACTTTTCTTCAATTTTGTTAGAGGAACAACACAAATTATATTTTAAGATAAGATATATTTAAGATATATTTTTCTTCATGTTTTGATTTGGAATAGAAAGTGTAGTGTTCCCAATGCATTTGTGTGTATGGAAATAAAAGCTATTAGAAGGAATTTGAGCTTTATTCACTTTTTTCAACACACTGCTATTATTTTGAAAACAACTGTAGGTTTATTGGAATAAATAGATACACTTTATCCCTCCTTCCTGTAGGCATCCCTCTCTTTGCATGACAGGCCTCCCCAAGCCACTCCTTTTCCCTCCTTGACTGGTCACAGCTTTTTGATGTCACCACCTACAATTCAGAAATAGCAGATGCCAAAGGCCTACCCACATCCAGGAAGTATGGAGAAGAGCTGGGGGGGGGGGGGGGGGGGGAAAGATGATGAAGTGGACAAGTATTAAGTTAACAGTTATTCTTAGTGCCATTCCTCTGGACAAAATGAGCATTTGATGCTGGGGTCACTGGATAATAACATTTTAGAGATACCCAGAGTTTAGCTGATAATTTTATTTTCCCATGATGCTGAAGAAGGACTTCACTCACAAATTTGGGTGAGTTGTTTAAAATAATTAAAGATATATTTAGGGAAGGATGATATATAAATATGACTTACTGTCACACCCCAAACACCATGATCCTTCAATGTAAAATGCCTGCACTGATCACTTTCCCTGAGAGATCCTTCCACTACACTGCATGCTGGCCTAACAAATCGTTACTACACGAGTTTTGTGTTTATCTGGTAGAAGCAGCTCAATGTTATTCTATGTGTCCATGCACATTAGGACATTTAGAGGCATATTTTAAGTTCAATTTTTAGAGGTAGAAACAAAAACCCTTCTGCTTTGCGTTTTTGATCGTAGTTTAATGGCATAAAAAAATTAGTAATGCTCCTAAACACGCCTAAACTCCTGTACAAAAATGTTCTATATGAGCAGGTTTTTTTTTTCTGCCCAGGGAGCTGGAATTTTTTTTAAAACCCAGTGTGCATGGACCCTAAATGTTGTAGCTTGAACTTACTCTATATAGTAAAAGTAGGCATGCAGAACTTAAGGTCCATTCAGAACTTGGCACGCTGGTATGTTGAGGCAACACATCCTTTTCCATTTATTAACACGTGTTTCATTAAGGCAGCCCATTCACATATTAGGGATGGAAACACACCAAAATGTCCAAAAAAAGAACATGCTTCATCTTTGCAATGTAGTGCACTACAATGCACAGTAGTGTGTTAACAAGTTTTGTAATGTGCTGCAATGTTGTGATGTTTTTGAAGCTATGTTGTCTTAGTGCATTGGGATACCATTCAAAATGAATGGTACCACAATGTGCTAAGGAATGTAATGTGTGTTCATATGCATTGTAGCAGCTTGTGTGTGTAACTCAACATACTGCTGCTGAAAAGCGCGTTTCATGTCTCAGTGTAGCTCATTTGAAACCCATCTGTTTTTTTTTTCTTTTCAGTAGTCCAGTTTGCAATTTTAAACTAGCTCTTGGGAGTGTCAGAGGTGCTCTCTTTCTCCACAGCCCGCAGCCTGACCATCAACAAAATCAAATATAAATGTCAGTCTATAGTACTCTATACAATCAAATTCAAACATTGCATCCCATATTCTTACTTAAAGGATAAGTTAAATTCAAACATTAAGACCATTGGGAGCATGTTACCCAATTTTACAGTGGAACATGTAACATGTTCCCACAGCTGCAGCTGCCACCCAATCCCCCCCTCTCCCTGTGACAGCAGTATGGGGAGAAGTTCCAGTACTAGCTGTCAGTTTTTGAAAACAGCATGGCCATATGGGGTTCCACCTATGCAGCCTTGTCTTTCATTCACATAGTTCTGTGAATGAATAAATTACAAGTCCTGACAGCCTTTGCAGCTATCGGCTTGTAGTTCTTAGTGAACTACCACAATTCTGTTGACAGCTGTGGGAGTTCATTGAGTCTTCCTGTCAGACTGGATGTTCGGGTATATGGGATGTACAAGCAAGCAGATACACTGACAGTTTGCAGGAGTGAACTTATCCTTTAAAAAAAAAAAAATATAGTAAATGCATACACTATATTGCCAAAAGTATTGGGACGCCTGCCTTAACACGCACATGAACTTTAATGGCATCCCAGTCTTAGTCCGTAGAGTTCAATATTGAGTTGGCCCATCCTTTGCAGCTATAACAGCTTCAACTCTTCTGGGAAGGCCGCCCACAAGATTTAGGGGTGTGTGTATGGGAATGTTTAACCATTCTATCAAAAGCACATTTGTGAGGTCAGGCACTGATGACATCTTAAGAGATCCCTTCACTGGAACTAAGGGGCCAAGCCCAACCCCTGAAAAACAACCCCACACCATAATCCCCTCTTCACCAAACTTTACATTTGGCACAATGCAGTCAGGCAAGAACCATTCTCTGGGCAACCGCCAAACTCAGACATGTCCATCGGATTGCCAGACAGAGAAGCGTGATTTGTCACTCCATAGAACACATCTCCACTGCTCTAGAGTCTAGTGGCTGTGTGCTTTACACCACTGCATCCAATGCTTTGCATTGCACTTGGTGATGTAAGGGTTAGATAGGCAGCTGCCCAGCCATGCAAACCCATGAAGCTCTCTAAGCACTGCTGTTATGCTAAGCTGAAGGCCACATGAAGTTTGGAGGTCTGTAGCTATTGACTCTGCAGACAGTTGGTGACTTCTGTGCACTGTGCGCTTCAGCATGCGTTGACCCCACTCATTTTACATGGCCTACCACTTCATGGCTGAGTTGCTGTTGTCCTAAGTTACTTCCACTTTGTTATAATACCACTAACAGTTGACCGTGGAATATTTAGTAGCAAGGACATGGATGGACTGCACAGGTGGCAACCTATCACAATTGAAATCACTGAGCTCCTGAGAGCAACCCATTCTTTCACAAATGTTTGTAGAAGTTGTCTGCCTAGGTGCTTGATTTTATACACCTGTGGCCATGGAGCCCTCCAGAGATTTGGGCATCTTATCCTTTATTTCTAAAAAATGCAGCATTAAAATACTGAATATCAGATGGATGTTCCAATAAAGTGTATCTATTTTTAAAGGTCCTAAAGCCATTTGGAGTTCACTTGGTCACACATATTTATCCAAAATGTTTGAGTTGTCTTGGTAGTAAGAGGTGAAGTGAAATTTTTTCAGTGGGGAAAAATATTCCAGTGACAGTTGTGTTAAATAGGAATAACCTTATTTCAGGGATATCTCCTCTCACTAAAGCTAGCCATACATGTAGATTTTAATTCAAGAATTTTCATTTCAAGAATATTTGTTTGATTTTCTAACCATTTGTGGTATCAAATCGATGTTTGTTTTTGGCAACAGTGATGGGAATCATTCAGAAATTCCATTCATTTTAATATCAAATGTTTAAAGCAAAATACAATTTTCAATAGACATTTATCCATTCATTGAATATTCAAAGAATTTTTGTGCGATGTTTCTTATGAATAATCTCTTCCAAAAAGTGTATGGCCAGCTTTAGGATAGATTTAGACATGCATCTAATTTCCATTGCCTCTGAATCCCAATCTGTTTTAGAATCGCCCTCCATAGGCTACTGACAGGCGGTGAAGAAGCGATGCGATGCCTCCTCACTGCCTGTTTTAACCCCATATGTAGCGTGAGGTGAGCTTGTTGCTTGTTGAACGATCCATGTCAGGTCAACACTGCCATGAATCGAAGCATCGTTGCTGCGGAGTGAAAACATCCCCGTCCGCTGCCTATTGCAGCTTAAGGGGGGGAGGGACTGCTAGTCTAAACGAGGCCTGTTATATCTCTAGGACAAGACAAAAGTTGAATACTGCTTTTCCTAAAGGTGTATGTCATTCACATACCTCCCAAAGCCTGACTGAAAAACTCCTAGAGAGAGCATCATCCTGTTCTGTCTATTTGTTAGGACATGCTAAGCCACTCTTTCTTACACCAGTTGTTCACCTCCACCATCACCATCAAATATCATTCTGATTCAAACCCCCTCACATATGCTTTCTCTCACCTGATGCAGTAGCCCTTAAAATCACTGCTTGAGAGATCGCTCCTCTAATGGAGGGGGTGAACACTAACAGCTGGGAATGTCTTAGTAACATCCTAGCAACAAGACAGGATCGATGATGCCCTCTTCGGGAGTTTTTTTCAAGCAGGCTTTGGGAGGCTAGTTAAGGTCCTACACCTATAGCAAGGTCATTATTCAACTTTGGTCAAAGCTGCACAGTTTGTTTTTATGTAGAGATGCCCCCTATCTGCATAGACAGCTTTGTGGTAAAGGTGAGCTTTGCCTTTAATGCATAATGATGTGTTGTGGTAAATCAATTGCAGTAAAGCAGTGCAAATTCGGAATAGGTCTCTACTCCTGTGTAAGCTATGATTTGCTCAAAGGACTCTCTACCAGCCCCCATGTGACAGGACTAGATGCCGGAGTGGCCAATCACTAAGCATCAGTGCAAAAAATAGAACAATATAAAAGGCTTCCAATTACATATTCAATAAAATACCCACTGGTATTTTTAAATAGTACCTCAGTTTGTCTTTGTGCTAGCCACCCTAAAGGAATCAGAGGTAATCTTCCCCTTGGCTTAAAGCTAGCCACCACTCCAACCAGTGGTGTTCCGTCAGGGGTCACATAGGTTGCAATTGCGACCCAGGCCCCTGCTCCGTGCCTCTTTGTCACATTAGGTTTTGGGGTGGTACTTTAAGCTTGTATGGATGTCAGAGTTTCTATAATGGAGCAGCAAGATTATCAAGCGAGTTCAGGTGACAGCAGAGTATGGGGGATGGGGGGGAGCTGGGGGGGATGTGTTTGGGACTGAGAAAGTTCTACAATCCAGAACACTGAGAGGGCTGGGGGACTCCTACAACTGAGGGGGACCAAGACTTCCCTAAACTCACCCTGTACTGGGGACATCCCGTTTAAGAAAGTGACAGGAGCCAATATGGGGGAGGGGTGAGTCCTGGACATGGTTTGACTTGTATTATGCAGGCAGTAGGGAAACCTCTATGGTATATAAAGGGACTCCAACACACGCATTAGCTTCAGAGGTTACAATGGCAACCCTTCCAGTGTGGCCTTCCTGTCACATTTGGATTTACAACTGGACAGGAGGGGCGGAGGGCACCATATACCAGAACTGAGGGGCTGTATTTTCCTCCTGCAAGTGCTGAATGTCCTCTTCTTACTTCCACTTGCATTCGGCAGCTGCAGGAGGAAAATGGATAGGATCAGTTCCTGTAAACTGCCCCCGCTTCCCCTCCTACCTAGTTACTCTTATGTCTGCTGCCTCAGCATCAGTGTGCTTCCCTGTACCCCCATACTGTGTGCTGCTGGCTTCGCCCCCCCCCCTTCCCTGCACCAGCTGCTGGGGATACTGTCAGGATGGAGAGCAGGGAAGGTGCCAGTAAATTACTGACACCATCCACTACCCTACTGACACCATACACTGCCTTACTGACACCATCCACTGCCCTACTGACACTGTCAACTTCTTTATTGATGTTGTCCACTGCTTTACTGCACTGTCTTCTGCTCCACATTTAAGGTAGGCTAAGTTTATATCTTTACAGTGACATTTGTTTTATTATATTTTTCTTTTGTTTTCTTTACTATTTGGTTAGGCCTTGCTGATCAATTTCTTAAAAAAAAAAGGAGGTGTAAAACCCTGGTGATCTTTGATCCCTTTCATGTTGTTCAAGTAGATATCCATCTTTCAAAGGTTGCCTACCCCTGCTCCAGGGTATTCAAATGAATTGGAGACGGATGTCAAAATGTGAACAGTTTCTCCAAAATCTTTTGAATTACCCTGTCAATATATGCAAATAAAAATCTGCAATAGCTCTTTAGCCACTTGGAGTATCTTGGAGCACAGTGGAAAGGGTGGGTGGTAGTAGGGGGGCCCCAGGTCAACTTTTGCATCGGGTCCACAAATTTCAAGTTATGCCTCTAACTCCAACTTTTCTCCCTGCAAACCCCAATGAAGACATTTTACTCTAAGTCTTCAGTCACACTAAATCTGACTTTGAAATCATGCTACTTTACTTGAATTTTAAAATCGGATGTCAGTGCAACTTCAGGTGTGACCTGGAAGACATCTATGAGACTTCATGCACAGATGTCTATGCAGATTGCATCTGAACTTGTAAAAAGTAGGGTATGAACTACTTCCAAAATTGGTGTGACTCCAACAAAGTCATAGTCACTTCCATTGCAGACAATAAGGTGTGACAATTCACACCGTGTGACCTGGGACTTAAGTGGAGTTTAAATGACCTTAGTAGCCTTTTATTTAAAAAAAACAACAACAACTTTTTTTTAATAAACAAACACCCTAACATGACTGTATTACAAATCAGCTAAATTTGCATGTCCTTGAAGGCACCTGATAACATTACAACTAGATAGCAGCCGCCGCTCAACCTGAAAGTCCATGCTGGATTAAGGCCCACCAGGGCTGAAACATGTAAGCAAGGAAAGACACTTTTTTTAAATCCTGTTTTAAATAAAGGTGTATTGTCATCCCACTAGTGTGTGCCGGTCTACAACAATCTATAACAGTTTCCAATGTCTGTAGCACCAGTTAACTATGTCATGCCCTCAGTCGCAATACACGGTCTCAGGTACGATATTAGCTGACCACAGACACCTATTTGATCCATAAATACTTGGTCACTATGGAGTTGACTACACCAAATATAGGACACCACAACAACTGTATTCCCAACCATTTTCAGATTAACAGATTAAACCACTATCAAGGAACCCAAACTCAATAATATAATTAGTCCTCAGTGCTCAAAATGTCCAAAAAGTCAATTGGAATGAAAAATATCCCTCAGCTGCAGGAAAAATATGCCCCCATACTAATAATAATAATATACATAGAAGATTATAGAAGTACTGGTCCTATTTGTATGTTTGCAAGGAACCCAAAACTGTCACCCATCTGCTGCAACTTGAATTCAGATTGTCCAATGTAACACAAATAGAAGGAAGCTCACTTGGCAACTGAAACATTACGTTACTCCTCCCCACAGGCTACCCCTCAGAGCTCCTCCGACGTCTTCTGTCCAATCCAATAAGTGACCACTAAGTTATATTTTCATCCTTTTACCCCATATTGACTGCCCCCCAGACCCCTAATCATATAGGCCCTGTGCTTATTTTTCTTCTTTTTTTTAGCTATGGACCTATCTTTCAGACTGTTACAGAAAGTGGCCCCAAAGTATTGCATTACACAGTGTGAACCTAGTCAAAGCTGATTTCTGATTGGAGGGGCAAGCACAGAGATTACTTAATTAGTGGACTGCTGTTCCTTCACTATCCAGTCACAATCTTGATTAACCTATATTGTATTGGCTGTCAGGGCTATGTATAGTATCTTGCAGGGTTGTCTGGACTAGAAAACTGGCTGAACAGAATTACAATTTCATTGTCAGGTAAGCCAGTTTACACATAGGTATTTCAACAACCTAATTAGAGGTTTGTCTACCTTTAAAGTAACACTAAGATCATATTTTATTTATAAAATAGGATAAACCTATTATGTTGCAATATACGTAGAAAAAAAACCTTCTATCTTTCTCTTCATTGGTTTCATCTCTCAAATGCAATCTTTTTTTTGCCCCTGAGTTGGACTAAACACATCTACATGTGGAGACATTCATCTGTATGGAAAATTGCAGTGGAGCATATGACCAGAAATAATATCACTGCTCGCTGTACACTAGTAGCTGTGAAATGCTTCACTGAAGGATATAGAGTGTGCACAAGGCAAAAAAAGAAGGTAAAATACTTTTTAAACAAACAATAAAATGGTATACTTGATATTCTAGAACAGTTGATGTAAAAAATATAATTTAGGATCACTTTAAGCTAGCCATACTCTCATTATAGTAAAAGATTTTTTCAATTTCAAAACATTCATTCGATTTTGTCACCTTTAATGGAGTTAAATAGTTTTTGACCGATGTGATGAGAAAAAAAAGGATGTAAAAATGTTTTTCTTCAATTAAAGTGTTACTAAACCCACAACAGTAAAATCAGTCTGTATATGCAGTAAAGCATGCTTGTTATACTCACTATGGAACCTAA